ACCCTCAGTTTCTTCCTCCTTTGTATCCCTTAGTGAATGGTATACAAAGCCACTCAGTGGCCCAAACCAGAAACTTGGGCTGTCATCGTTGACTCTGCCCTACCTCTCCACTGACAGCCAATCCACCTCCATCTTCTATTGATCTTACCTTCTTCATGTTTCTTTTTTTTTTTTTTTTACCTTCTTCATGTTTCTTGAATCAGTCCATCCCCACTGCTACTTCATGCCTTCACCCAGGCTACCATCATCCTTTGCCTACATTATTGCATCAGCCTCCTAACTAGTCTCCCAGAACTGAGTCTTGTACCCCCGACTCCATTTTCCATTTTGTGGCCAGAGTGATTTATATAAGATATACTTCCCTTGCTTCAACCCACTTTCCAGATTCCTTACTCCATATAAGATCCTGCATGATCTAGCCCCCGCCTACCCCTCCAGACACCCACATACAGCACTCTATTCTCCAGCCCTGTTGAACAGCCTGTCGTCCCACAAACATGCTACTTCCTCTGTGGCTTTGGAACTTTTGTCCATGCTGTTCCCTTCACCTACAAGACCAGTTCCACCACTCACATCTCCTTTTCCCAGTTGCTAAGTGCTTTCACTCCTCAGGTTCCAGTTTAGCAGACGCCTTTCAGGGATGCCTTCTTTGACCCCCTAAGACAATGGCAGTGCGGTTTTCTGTGCTGCCATAGCTCTGTCTATTTCCCTGTTGAAGTTATGTACAAAGTTGAGTTCTCCTATAAAGATCGTAGCTAGAACCTGTCATCCACTCTGTGTCAGAAAGCCATTTCCAGAGCTGCCGTCGTTCCTAATGTATATGTATATATAAATTTAAATAGCAGGAAAGAAAACTAAAGAGAAGAGAATCTCTATATTTTAAAAGAAAAAAATAGCATGGGCTCAGTATCTCAGGACCTTGGAAGTGGTTTATCTGTTCATAATTTTGTTTTCTTAATTCAACTTTTTTTCCTCTCTGGGGAATGAGTGGCTACAGGAATCTTGGAGGAAGGGTGGATTTTGGAAGGCAAAACAACGCTTGGAAGAAAGTCCCAGTGTAGAGGGAGTGGTAAAAGACACAAACAAAGTTTTCCATGGCAAGGGAAGTCCCACCATCCTTTCTGCCCAGCTGGATATCAACCTGGCAAGACAGGAGCCCTGGTTCTACTTTCAGACAGATGGGCTGCTCACTGCCCTTCACTGACCTTCTTATTTGCCTCCGTTGTACCAAGGACAGGGCTGCATGCATTGCTGTGTCCCTGGTGGGGACTGTGCACAGTGACTGATACTCGGTGGGATGCTGCTTTTCCCGGCCAGTCCTCTGGGGAAGACTGTGACATCGTGTGAAAGATGCAGACAGGGTTGAAGAGGAGTGTGTTAAACTTCACAAAACTAAAATTAGAATAGCCTACGATTGATAGCAGTTAAGAATAAGTGAGAAAGATTGCAACTAAATACCTAGGGATTAATTTCTTTAAAAGCATGCTGTTTAAGGTCATGGACTTCTGTAGGTAAAATAATGATATGTGAAACTTTCTCAACTCAAACTTATTTAAACCACCAACTATGTATTGAGCACCTGCCATGTGTTAGGCAGCGTGTTGGGTGTTGGGTATAGAGGTGACTAGGACATGACCTGAGTCTACTCTCACTCTGGGGATCGCCAGGGGTTTCTGGCAGAGAATGAATGCTGTGTGCCACGTCATGACTCCTAGCAACACGGGAACCCATCAAGGGCCTGTAATAACAAGGTCAGCCCAGGAGGGATGCAGGGGTGGGGGTAAAGGAGCAGAGGGCTCTCCTTTTCTCCCAGGTGTGTCATGGAGGTCCATCCACTACTGCCCAAAGTTGTCCATCCCATCTACCCTTCAACGGGATCTGCAGAACACATCATGCCCCACTTGCCCACCACCAGGGCCGGCATTTTCTCAGAGGGACTGAGAGTTGGTTCTCAGACCCCTGTGAACATATTCTCATTTGGAAATCACTAGTCTTAAGAGATTCCCTAGTGGTGAACATAGTTGCCATTTGACCTCGATCAACTTGAATGACCTTTCGGTGTGATCCAGCCACCCCCCTCCCCCTTGGGATGACCTTTCTGAGGCTTCAGTGATTCCCCTCTCCCACCGCCAACCCCCAGCCCTACTGATATCTTAGACAATACAAAAACGTCTGGCTACTTTTGAAAATGACCCTGAAACTTCTATATGAACTGCAAGGCATCTCAATGAATGCAAAACTCCCTGTGACATGGATCTTAAGTGTGCTTTGAGCCTTCTTGGTGGCAGAGAACTCTGGATGCTATCTGTTTGCTGCTTACACTCCATCATGGCTGGGCTTCTCCCTTGCTTCACTTGCCAGGGACCTAATCATACCCTTACTCAGTTGGGGCCAAAGCCATTATTATTCTGAAATGATAATGAGGTTCCCAGGCTAGCTCACAAAGGCCTTCTTAGAACAAAATCTAGCTGTTAGAATCTTGCACTTTTAACTGGCACATTGTAGATTCTCACCCTCCTGCCTGATGTCTCACTCCTGCCCCCAGTATTCCTGCCATTCTATTCATCAATCCTCACTGGTTTCTGTTCTTTTCACAAAGGCATGGCCAAGGGTAACTTCTGTCCTTACTTAATTTCCATTATACTCAGGGACCTCAGCAATTTCAGTGATCCTAGGGGACCTCACTGACCCAGCTCTACACATAACTTTGTGGGGGGCGGGGGCATGGGGAGGCGGTAGGAGAGAGCAGGCAAGTGGTTTTAGTAACATAGGTACCTGTTGGACAGGTCTGAGCTCCGGTGGTCTCCAGATGCTACAGTGAACACCTGCTCTGTACATGGATCTACTCGCTTCATCCGTCTCCCTTTATTAGGGGAGGGCAGGGAGAGAGCACAGACAGCTGGGTCATAGTGCCTAAGGCTTTCCCACAAATCACCTCCATTGCCATAACCCCTGAGCCAGGAGCACTAATGAAACATCGCCCACCTGTTCCCTGGGCAGTGCTCACCCACATGACCCTCGGCGGCTGCAGGCGTGCCTGGCAGAGAACCCCTCTCTGGAAGCCATAACCTGGGCTGTGCAGCACGGCCTTAGATTCCATCTCTTTAGCCTGGCTCGGAGGGCCACAGGCCACTGCCCACTGTGCAGAGTGGGTTTTTAAGGAACCATCCGAATTGGAATTCATCCTCTGCCAGATGCTAAAGTAGCACGTCTAACTGAAATTCAGAGGCCTGGGGCCTCACTGCCAGGGAGCATTCTCCCCAGGGAGCTCTGTTGAGAGTGTGAGTAAAGTCTCCTGGAGCCACACCATCAACGGACAAAGATAGCTCCACACAGGAGACCAGCTTCTCGCATTGCTTGGTGCCCAAGAAGAGGCTGGGGGTTCATTCCTCTCTTTCTGGGTGGCTCAAGAGCTTTAATAACTATCACTCCCGGAGTCAAGAACTTTACATCGATTACTAATTCCGGTTAGTGAAGTGCCGTGGTTCCCAAAGTGTGGTCCCTGGACCAGCAGCATCAGCACCACCTGGCAATTTGTGAGAAGGGCACGTTCTTGGACTCCACTCCGGATCTACTGAGTCAGAAAACTCACTGGTGGGGCCCAGTGCTTTGTGTTTCAACACATCCTCCTGGTGATGCTAATGCACGCTCAAGTGCGAGACCCACTGGGATCGTGGATAAGAACACGGAATCAGGTTGCCTGAGTCAAAATCCTGACTCCACCATTGTGTGATGCCGGGAAGGTCTCGTCTCTGTCTCTTCATCTGAAAACTGGGGGTGGTAAAGCATCTGCTACTACTTTATAAGATGCTTGTGAGGAAGAGAGTTAATAGATGCGAAGTACTTACACTGCGCTTGGCAGAGAGACCTCGCTCAGGAGTGTTAGGCCTCATCAAAGGTTGTTACTACTATCGGATTAGACACAAGAGGCAACAGAGGCCCAGAAAGGTTAAGGATTGACCCCGTGCTACAGGATTCTCTCCCTCTCACACTCTCTGTCGCCTTTGTAGGATCTTCCGGTGAAACAAAACCCAAGGGCGTAACACGACCTTCACCTTGACCTTGCTTTGTTGACAGTCAGAAGGTGGGCGGGCATTAGTGAAGGAACAGTGAGGATTTCAGGTTAAGGATGCTGCCTGAGAAATCTGGTGACAAGTTAAAATTCATTCCTGTGGAAAATTAAGAGTAGATTAGCCGAACTGCCTAGACTTGTAAGACACTTCATGGATTGAGGTCTTTGGGGTAATTAGCAAATTGTGCATGGAATTGGCAAGCCATTAATAAGGGGAAGTTTTCTCTTCTACCTGCTACACGGCTGGGTGGGGGCCCTTTGCAACCATATGCAAATCTGCTGAGACAGTTCTGTCCATCTCCTCTTGTCCCCCAGGGGTTAAGCACAAGAGTGATGCATTAAGATGGGGCTCGCCTGCATCAGAGCTGTACCCCTGGGCCCATGAGCCTCTCTGAAGGGGCTTCAGAAGGTAAGACCTCCCCCAGTACCATGTGTTACCTAGGACTAGGGGAAAAGGCTCATCTCACCTTAAATTTGCATTCAGTAAGCTACATGGGGACTGTGGCTTCTTTTCCTGCCTCACACTCTCCCATCCAACTGCGTGTTCACAGACATACCACAAGCCAGCAGTCTAAAATAGGCTGTCGTGGCTTTTACAAAACTGGCCTGGATATGAACTTCTCAAATGCAGTATGCAAACTGAAATCAGGGCTGATAGTCTATTATTGGTGACTGTTTATATTTATCTGCCAGTGACTTCGTAAGCTGCACATCTGAGGCTTCAGAGCCTCATATTTATTCAGTTCTTCCTTTGGGTCACATCAGTGAGAGCGATTCTAATATATTCTGCTCCTTGGGAGTCACAAGGTCTGGGATGTATTCCTTCCCTCCCATATGAGGGGAAGAAGGACAACTGTTAAGGATTCTCCTGTAACTCGGGGATGGACCCACTAGGGTCTGAGAACACACACTCTGACACCATTCTATGTAAACCCAGACATGCTTCTGCTCATTTTAATTAGACAGATAAAATTAGCAAGGAGATTAAGAGAAAAGGAGAAATTAAAAATATTTAAATGTTAAGTGGAATTTACAAAAGCAAATTGAACAATGAGGTACAAGAAGGAATGCAGAGAAACACAGACACATTTGAAACATTCCTCGGATGCCACACGGCTTAAGCCAGTCCACAGATCAGGTAAGAAGAATTCTCCCTTGCCATCTCTTGAATTGCAGATTCCAGGGATGTGGAAGAACATTCTCCAAGAAACACTTTCCTTCTCCTTCTCTTCAGATGTTACCAAGAATAATTAATCAGTCAGTATCATTCTAGAATGGCCCACACTGCCTCCAATTCAAACCACTCACCTGTTTCCTGTCTGAATTTGCAAGCTCCTGAGAGTTTTTTCCCACTTTCATTTTATTTTTCTCCCTGCCCTCTCTCCCCATTGAGCCCATAGGCCAACTGGGCCAACTGGGCCAACTGGGCCAACCAGAACACCAAACCAACAACACGTTCCAGCCCCTTTGGATTTTCCGGGGGCAGAGACACAAATTCCCGGTTCTTCTTTCTTGTTTGCATCTGTTACGAACAAGCACAGTCATTTTAGAACACAGACATACATGTGTGTGCTCCTGCACACGGAAACAGGTTTTTCTTTTTTTTTTTTTTTTTCCAATTTGTGGTTTCTTTTTCCTTTTTGCAGAAAATGCAAACAAAAGAAAAACAAGGTTTTCAATTGAAGGTACATCTCTTCTTCAATATGAAGACATTAATTGAATTGGTTGGATCCCCCATGCAGTGGTCAGCAAAGTCCTTTGGCAACTGACAGAACGACATCTGGAGACTCAGGAGCTGGGGTTTGTTTGAAGGAACTTCCCTACACGAGTCATGAGCAAAGGGAAATGGATGTGGGAGAAGGAGAGGGCTCGTGGGGAGGAATACAAAAGGAGAAAAGAAAAGAATGTCATTGGTGAGGAAGAAAATGGAAAACTACCTGTTTCTTCCCTCTACCTCCTTCCCTTTCTTCCTGTGGATGGGTGACTCCAGTGCCCCGAGGGTGGGAGCCGAGCTTACTCTTGGTTCCCCCGATGCATACCGTTTTGTCTTCACTTCTGTTGAACATCACCTTTTCGTATTTTTATGATCATAGATTTGGTTTCCCACAGCATCTGAAACATGCTCTGTCACTGAGAAATGAAGGTTGCCTATTAAGAACAGGTCCAGTTTCTTCTTCACTGATGTAATGCATTTCTCAGCCGAGAAGCCAATCTTTCCAGAACGTTCCACAGTGGTCAACCTCTGATTCCCTCTTGAGACTGGTCCTTTTCCTTCCTCTCCTCCCCCCAGAAAATGAGAGTTCTCACGCCACTGCCGTTGGTGACTGACTCATCTGGACCCTCATAGAATGAATGCTGTTCAGGATCTTCTTCTGATGACCTGCCAAGGTGACCCCTATTCTCAGGAGGTCTCTAGGGGGGAGAAAGCCACACAAAAAAAGGCACTTTAGTGTTAGGGCAGCTTTTCACGGATCAAAACTCATCACAGAAGGCAAGCTCTTGATATAGCTGGGTAGACAAATAAAAGTGTTTAAAATCCAAGACTCAAGTTTATCCAAGTCTTTGGCAAGCGCCTACCTAGATATTTTTTTGCTCAATCTCACTTGCTTCATGCAGTGGCCTTAGTCCCCAATGGCCCCTCCAACTTAGACAGTCCTGGAAGTGTTGTGTCTTGTTCTTCACCTATGGGTTCTGAAGCAGCCCCTTCCTTGTGTCCCTGACCCTAGGTGGACTGGAACTTTCCTCTGTGTTGTTTTTTTATACACTCCAAGCACACACTATATGGGGCTTTAGTTATGCTGTGGAGCTTTCTGCCTAAATTAGTGATCACCCACTGAGATTGAAAAGATGTGGGGTTTGCTGGGTTTTCTGATGTTTTTTCCCCTGAGTTTCCATTTTCTGCCTCTGTTTGAATTTTAATGTCATGAATTTTTAAGAAGGGTGATCTCAAAATAACTTTCAAATATCTGCCCAAGCAGGAATTCAAGTAATATGTTTAGAATAAGGGTTTGAGTTGGGTTCATCTTTAAGCTGTGAGTCTTAATGATCAAGTTCATGGCTTATATTTAATTTGGGGGAGACCCATGCATCTTTTCCTAGTTAATAATAATAATATATAGCATTGCTTGAGTACTTCTCATGTGCCATATACTATCTCATTTATACCTAATGAAGCATTTCATGAATTTTGACAAACCACTCAAAGTAAATAATAATAATTTAACAGTAATTGTTTCTTGTGTGCATCCTGTAGGCAGGTAATAGGCTAAGTGCTTTGCTTGCACTACTCCATTAACCTCTCACCACAAACCAATGAGATGGGTACTATTATTATTTGCTCATTTATGGACAAAGCAAGTAGGGCTCAGAGAAGTTAAGTAACATGCTCAAGATCACAAAACAGATAACTGGTGGTGGAGCTGGGTTCGAACTCAAGACTACCTGGTTCTTAGCCACCCTTGTAGGGCTGCTCTCAGACCTCTTCTAAGGTCCTGACTCTATCCCCCTTCAAATGCCCCTGTCCCTAGCATAGCAGATGACTCCCCACGAGGAGGCTCCTGTGCTCCCCTCAACCCTTCTTTTCAGCTGGTGGCCAACCCCCTCATGGCTGCAGCTGGCTCAGATTGTCAAATTGTCCGTGTCTTTTCAGCCAACACTTCTGAGAGGCATGCTTGAATTTCAAATTCACAAATTGTCCTGCAATCTATTTTATTTCGTTGCTCATGTTCTTTTTCCATCTTTTATCTCTCAAGAAACAAACTAAATTGGGGGCGCCTGGGTGGCTCAGTTGGTTGGGCGACTGCCTTCGGCTCAGGTCATGATCCTGGAGTCCCGGGATCGAGTCCCGCATCGGGCTCCCTG